AGGACTTAAATCCAAGACAGCGAAGATGGCAACTCTTCTTGTCTATGTTCAATTACAAGATTGTCCATACCCCAGGGCGACAAATGGTGCAAGCGGACGCGCTTTCACGGTTGTCCGAATTAGACAATCGACAGGACAACAAGTCACCTGCGATCCTGTTACCCGATGATCTCTTTATTGGTGCTATCGATACAGATATGGCGGAACAAATTCGACAAGCACTAACAAAAGACCCATCAGTACTTGCGTACAAGGACGGCCTAATGGAAGAACTCCCAGTTCCACGAGGAATGACAAAGGACGACATCAAGGACACTGACAACGGTTTAATCACCATCCATGGACGCATATATGTCCCAAACAATACAGCCTTGAAAAAGGAAATTGTTCGGCGATACCATGAGGCCACTCCCCATGGTCATCCAGGAATCTGGGTTATGCATCAACTAGTGCGTAAAGACTTCTGGTGGCCAGGAATATATCGCTTCATCCAAAGTTACGTCAATGGATGTGCCACATGTCAGCAATCCAAAGCTGTTCGAAACAAAGTCAAAGTTCCACTGCAGCCCATCGGCCCTTCGCCCAATGCGCTACCCTTCAAGCAGGTTAGCATGGATTTTATTACGGATCTGCCGAAAAGCGAAGGCTTTGATTCAATAATGGTCATGGTAGACCATGGGCTTAGTAAGGGGGTAATTCTATGTCCCTGCAAGAAGACGATCACTGCCGCGGAAACCGCCGAGCTATTCAGACGACAAGTTTGGAAACGCTTTGGGCTACCCGACAAGATCATCTCTGACCGTGGAACACAATTCACATCCAAAGTATTCCAAGCACTGTGCACTGCCCTCAAGATCAAGTCAGCTATGAGCACAGCCTATCATCTGCAAACAGATGGTGAGACGGAACGAATGAATCAAGAATTGGAAACATATCTTTGAATGTATTGTGCAGAGCAGCCGCATCGATGGAATCAATTCTTATCCGAAGCAGAGTTCGCGCACAATCTCCATATTCACTCAGTAACGAAGAAGTCACCATTTGAAATATGATATGGCTACGAGCCCCGAGGAATGCCAGAACTGTTTCCTCAGGACGAGATCCCTGACGTGGATGCAAGGCTCAAGCTTCTCAGCATGGTCCGCAAGGAGGCCACAGAAGGAATCATCAAGGCAAAAGCCCGTGTAGCTGCCAGGATCAAAGGAGGATCTCCGACATTCAAGAAAGGAGATAAGGTCTGGCTGGAAGCCACCAATTTGAAAAGACCTTACAAATCGAACAAGCTAGCGCTGAAGTGAGAAGGACCATTCAGGATCAAGGAGGTTCTGGGACCACTCTCGTTCAAGTTAGACCTTCCTGCGACATGGAAGATCCATCCGGTGTTTCATGCTGCACTGCTCATGCCATATCAGCAGACCAGTACACATGGGGAAAGTTATTCAACACCGCCTCCGGATCTTATCGAAGGAGAGGAAGAATTCGAAATTGAGTCTATAATTGGACATCGACTACGGCGCAGCAAGAACGAATATCTGGTAAAATGGGCTGGATATCCACTCAGTGAAAGGTCGTGGGTAAAAGAGACAGAAATGGGCAATGCAGGAGAGCTGCTGAACGAGTATAAAAGGGAGCACAACTTGGCCTGAACCCTCAGTCCATGCCCTCATGCCTGTGCAACATCCTGAGTTTCTCGAATCTGCTATCACCACTTTCGCGCACCTTATCGAAGTTCTCGAAGACATCGAATCCCACTCCTCCCACGATCATCGTTACCAGGTCTTCCAACAACTCGGAGTCTATCTCGCTATCAGAGGGGCTGGATTCGCCATCGAGGATCTTGCCGATTTCGACCATACCAACGTCGAGTTCAACACGACCCATCCAAGTCATGATGGACCATCTCATCCAGAGAGCGGATGACGTCCACGAAGTCCACCTCCTGGACGGCTTCAGGTCAACTCGACAACAGCCATATCTAACCCCTCGCCCCAGTGGGCTAATCAGAATTCCTTACCCGTTTCCATTCCAAACGGACAAGCCGAAGGTAACACTAGAGGACGACGTCGATATCGACCTGGACGGAACATGGGGAACGTTCATGAGAATGAATTACCCAATGTACCTAACGGAGGAACTCCACCTACCCCGGCTAGAGCCAGATCAACGCCGGACTATCCTAACAGCCGTCTACGCCGAGTGGGAATCCTCCCACCATCATACGCTCTAGATCATCCGCTACACTTTGACATCTTACCGGCAGCACTCTCATTCGCTCTGGATGCATTCAGTGTCATACATGGTACTGTATCAAGGACAATGACAATACCAGCGGAAGAACATACGGGAATGGCGAACATTCACATCACGGACTGGTACGAAGAAGAGGAACGGCTGCTCGAAGGTATAAGTAGTGGCCCTCCTTTCCCTCTACTGGACCATCACCTCCTCCTACTCGAGTGGGAACTCTACGAGGAAATCTACCCTTGGGATAAAGAGAATCGCCCTGCTCTACCACCTCCGCCAATGTCGCTCAACATCCGTGTCACCACCACCGTCACTCACAGCGCATCGGAGCCAGGACTACTTCTCGACAGTGATGGAGACGAACTCCTGCTTCTAGGCAACCTTAGCGACAAAGCACTGGCTGAGTCATGGAGGAGTGCACATTGGGGAGATGATGAAGATGAGACAGGTCGTTGGACGACGGGAGGATCTTGGATGACAGGGAGAGCCTGGGGTGACGACGATGAACAGGCAAGGAATGCCGATGATGAACAACCCAGCTACCCTCACCGTCCTGGTGCCACCTACCCCTACAATGCCACACCGGAGGACGAATCGCAACCTGCACCTGCTGACACCATCAAGGAGCAGATCAGGTACGCTCGAACGGTCAAGTCTTCGAGCAACCCAGCAGCAGGACAGGTATCGCTTATCGCCCCGGACGTCGCATCACCCTATGATGTCTTCATCACCACGCCACTGACATTCCTCATGGAATGCGACGGCCATCGTCTCTACGTCCATTGTACAGGCACGGGCGACTTCGCCACCTTCCATGCCTTCGTCTTCACTTGGGACAACCAGAAGGTCACCTGGCATCTCTACTCGGAAGACTCGCCTCATCACGTCTTCAGCCAATGGGTCGCTCTGCTCTATCCGCCACCCATCCCAGGCATGCACGACTGGCATCCAACACTCAACCGGATGCGCATCCTCAGCGTTCACTTCGCGAGCAAGGAAGAAGGTGTTGAACAATACGAGGTAGAACTCTTCAGGACGTTCTCCGATCAAGTCCACTACGGAGATGCCAAGACACCTCGTGAGTTCATGCCGGTCATCTTCCAACCCCTCGTTGCCATGATCGAGCGGCCTGGATGGCTTACCGACGGTGTCGAAGCACTGAAGGCGGTCCTCTATGAAGACGGATCCATCTCGCACTGGACGCCCACCGAGTTCCATCCTCAACCTCAAGAGGATCTCGACGAGGGATGGGAGGTCATACCCCATACCGCCATCCCAGTCTATGGCTACGTAAATGTCCGTGGGGGATGATGATGGGTTAGTTTGATGAGTGGTCGTCAAGGGTCTTGCCGGTTGGAAGGGGGAGCTTGTGTTACAGTTTCAGCACTTCATGGTCACGTGACAGTTTACGTTGCACGTGACACTTACTATTTATGGTTCATAGGTCTTGTGGACATATTCTAGGGTTAGCAGTTTT